ATGGCAGAAAGCCATGAAATGCTAAGTAGGCTGGTACATTGCTTTCCACCCCCTGACTCTGGCTGTAGTGTGCCCAGCAGCCTCACACTCCAGCTGCCTCGTCTTCACCACTGTGCTGGACTTTGCAGAGTTATCGACCAAAATAAAGTTTTCCTGTCCTAAAATGTCAAGTGTTTTAGTTTGCTTTTCTTTGGCAGAGACAAAACAATTTGACCTCAAACAAAATACAAAACAATTTATTTCATCATACATTTAGTGATGGTCTATCATTGTCATTAAAGGGAGAAGTCAGGCCAGGAATTCAAGGCAGGGACCTGGAGGCTGGAACCTGGATGCAAGAGCTGAAGCAGACACTATGGTTCATACCCAAGCCCACATCCAGTTAGCTTTCTTATAGGCCCACCTACTTAGGGAATGGTACTGCCCACAGTGGGCTAAGTTCTCCTATATTAGTAAGCAATCAAGAAAATGCCCCACAGACACTCCAGGTTGTAGGCCAATCTGATGGAGGGAATTTCTTATTGGACATCTACTTACCCAACATGTGTCAAGTTCACAACCAAGATTAGCTATCACATGAGGTATTTGGTCACAGCAAAGAGACTCGTAACTAAGAGCGATATCGTGTAACCAGACAGCCAAGCGGTTTAACTGCAGAATCACAGATGTGAAGCCCAGAGCAACTGAGAAACATATGTCCTCTTCTAATTAAAAATACAGCAAGCTTTGCTTAAGATGCTTTTATTTTTATTTGTATTTTGCATGAGTATGTGTGTGTGTGTGAGTGAGAATGTGTGTGTGTGTGTGTGTGTGTGTGTGTATACCTTTTGGGAGATGGGAAATGGGGTCCTGTGGGGAAAGTTGAGTTGTGCCTTTGACGAGGATATGAGGATCCTGGTTTCTTCCTCTTTCTTCCCTTCACAGGCACCATGTGGTAACTAGCTCTGCTCGTGTTCTCCATAATGAAGCGGTGTCTTACCAAGAGGCCCCCAAACAACATGCCAAACAAACATGGACCCTGAAACCATGAGCCAGAACAGGCTTTTCTTGGTTTCAACTTGATTGTCTCAGTCATAGATGTCATAGAAATAAAAAGGGGAGTGTCACAAGAATGTTGCTTAGTGGGAGGGTCTTAAATAGCCACAGGTTAAAGACTCCTTTATAAGAATGGAAATGTGTGTAACGATGCTTAAACTGTGATCTGCTCCTTACTTGTGTCAATGAAGACCGCATCCACATAGATTTTGGTACAGAAAGAGCCCAGAATAAATCCGCAGGCTGGTCCAAATACCAACATCGTGAACAGGATTCCTGAAAGAAGAAAAGAAAATGGTTAGGTTAAAACGTAGAAACCCTTCAAGGAGCAAAATCACCAAAGGTTAAAGAGATAATGTTATCGTGGTCAGGCAAGATACCTGGTTAATATAAATGACATTACAAGGACATCTGTGAGAACTTCATGCAAATACTGTGGTGTATCAGGGTAGAGTTCCACAGCATTTATTTTGCTTCGGGTTTTATTTTAAATCATGTGTGGCTATATGCATGCTAGTGCTATGGCCTCAGAGTCTGGAAGAGAGGACATTGAATCCCCTGGAGCTAGAATTAGAGGTGGTTTGTGCTACCTGACGGGCATCCTGGAAACAAATTTGGATCCTCTCCAAGAGACCCTCTACATACACACATGCACACTGTTAACAACTGAGCCATCTCTCCAGCCTGTCTACAGGGATTTGACAGATTGCTCTAACATGGTATTCACAGCCCCCCTCCCATTTCTCTTACCTTTCGAGTATTTTGTGCCATATCAACCAGAAATACTAAAATAATCCAGATTTATCATTAAGTAGTTTTTCTGTCACTAAGAAGGGGAGGAGTGCTTGAGAGATGGCTCAGTTGCACCTCCTATGTAACTATAAGGACCCTCTCTTGCCTCCTTAGCACTCACATATGAGCCAACCATGGCAGCCAGAGTGTAACCCCAGTACTAGGAAGGTGGAGACCTAAAGGGCCCTGGAGCACATGTGTCACCCAACCTAGCTTAATGGTTCAGTGATCTAAGTGCGCTGATGCACCATGGCTCAGAAAATAAGGGAGAACAACCAGGAAAGCCACCTGATGTCAGCCTCTAGCTTCTACATGCACACACATACATGTGCACAGGCACCTGTACCTATACACGCACATCTTCCTTCCTGTATGTATATATACTCTACACGCATTCACGTGCACACACACACAGACACACACAGACACACACACACACAAAAGCACATATACACCATGTATGCATGCACACACACACAATGAATTTTGAAAGGATTTTTACAACTTTGTTTTTACATTCATTTTTAGCTACAGTCTTCCTTCCTTCCTTCCTTCCTTCCTTCCTTCCTTCCTTCCTTCCTT